TTCATATCAGAATCATTCAGTGATCTTTTCACTACTTGATGTACAATATGAATTGAACAGTAAAGAGTATCATTGATATCGACAAACAAACCAAAACATGATGAGTTGACATTCATCACCGTGACAAAGTTATTTGTTTTTACCATCCATTTCTGCACTCGACCATTCTCCTTACCATCATCAATATAAATATCACCATTTGATGCCACAAAAAGAGAAGCGGTATTTGTAAAATTACCAGAAATGATCTTTGCTGGATTAACATTCTCTTCTTGCCATATTACAAGTCTGTTTCTTTGTCGATTAACGACATAGATTGTATTGTTTGTGCTCACAAAAATGGCGCTAGGATCTTGACCAACAATCGATTGATTAGCAATAGTAATTCCATTAGAATTCCAAATAGGTGTTGGAGAAAACTTTGGTTGATTGTAAGAAAGAGCTAAAAATGAAAAAAATATAAAAAAATATTAGAGAAGAACTGTAAACTAAATGAAATTGTTAATTTATATTTTCTCTTAGAAACATTCATTGAGATTAATTTTGAAAACATCTTTATGATTGTTGTTATATTTTCTCAGATGACTTGTAAATATCAACTAAAAAAGGGATGAATTAATCGAGGAAGATCTACTTTATTTATTGGTGTTTTCGTTGTAAAAGAAAAATAATTATCTTCAATCCTTGAAAAGATATGCTTATTACTGAAGACAAAAAATAATCGAATAATTTCTTTTATTTGTTCAACGAAAATGAATTCGAAGGAGGAAAAATTGTTTTGAAAGAAACTAACTTCATGGAAATTGATTAATATTTAAACAAAATGTCTTTCAAATTCAAAATCAAATCTTATTTTCATATTAAAAACATTCTGAATTTATTCGTGTTAAATCATTTCAATTCAATCTAATATGTGATAGAGAGAAGAAAATTGTCTTGTTAATCTATAATTAAAATAGCCATTCGAAGAAATTATTTAAGAAAAATATTTTGAAATAAAATTAAAGTGAAAATATTCTTCTTTCTTCTTATCAATAATATACTTTTGTTTCTTTTTAAATTCTCATCAAATTAAATAAAACAAGTTTGTAATCGATCTCAACAAAACTGATATTGAACAAAACCAATTTCCTTTAACTTTTTTATCAAATAATAATCAAATTTAATCAAACTTTTTCTCTCTTCTTTTTTCCTCTCGTTATTTCAACTTGAATACTTCGAGAAAAAATTTTATAATCATAGATTCTCTTTAAAGATGAGAAAAACTTCGATGTATCTAACCATTAATTCAAATGTTGTCTTACTTAACAATATTCTTTTATGATAGTCTAGTGGTATAAATGGTAGTGTCAATCATGAATTTGCACTTGAACAGCAGTTCTACATTATCATATGATTTGTGCTCTTTCTTTCTTTCTAGCAGATATATTCATTTCTACAGCTTAAAAGTTCATATTTTCTCACAAGTAATCCTTATCTAGGTTGATGTCTTCTTAATCAACAAGCCATTCATTCGTCGTCGTACTTTTCTATCTATACAACATTTCTGTTACATCACGAGATGAAAGACAAAATGCTTGAAGTTGACAACGCAGTACTTTAGTCATACATATCATCATCTTTGTTGATGCTCTGCATTCACTCAATGCTATCATTAACATCAGTTACAAAAGCTTACTAGATCTCATCACCATCTATATCCTCACTCAGTTTTTGCGCTCTCTGAATCCTACCTACACCCATATACATTCGAAAAACACCCATAACATTATTTAATACTTATGAAAAGGGTAAGTTTGTGAAAGTCGTCGAGATTGTGACGATTTTGTATTTTGTTCGATGGTAAAGGCTTTGAAAATAATTTTCGATACAAAATCGAAAGCTTCACCTTGGTTTTTACTATGAAATAATGTGCCATGCATAGAAACAGCTGGTCAATATATTTGTTATTTCAGTGTGACACATATATAATTCATATTTCATCACTGATAGTTATCGTAATATTTTATAATTTCAACACACTTTAATAATAAAATGAATCACTGTAGAGGGACACATTCTCTCAATGAATTAGACTGGAGTCTAGAAGAGATGAGAACCATCACTCTTGAATATATAACAGAAATTTCTGTCAAATTCTATAATCTATCATTTGACTCCCTTTTGTTCAACTAAAACTCTAATGAATAATGTCATTTGTACAATTACTAATCTTTAGTATGTGATAAATAAAATTATTTACCTGATGTTTCATAGTTGAGAAGGAACAGAAGAATAATGATAAATATGTAGACATGCCACATCATTCAGCAAGTTTTTTTTGATAAGTCAATCCACTGATAAATTAATCTTTTCCTCTTTTGACTTCGGTGAAAACAAAATGACACTAGTTTTAGATTTTCTCTCTAGTTATATATCTCTCTTTTGCTCTCATTTATCTCTTCCGAGATAACACAAAGAGAAAAAATAGTGTTCTAGAGAAGGTTTCGTCGTAGATAAGATACAGCAATGATTTCAGATTGGATTGATTATTTAATTTGATATTTTACACTGGATTTTATTGTTTAGTGAAGCATACAATGAAATTTAAATTAGAAATGATCCTTTTCTTTTTTTTTAATTTTATAGAAAAATCTATGATTTTATTGAAGAAGAACACGATGAAGAGAAAGAAGAATTGATCAATATATCGATGTCAATCATTAGACATGTTTTTAATAAAAATATGATATTAAAAATCATCGTCAATAAATGTTTGACGTTAATGAATAAATCATGATTAGTTTGATATATTTTTATTTGAACCTGTCAAATAATTTGCTTTGTCAGAACTCATTTTTAATAACATTTTTGTTTCTCTATGAAATAAGTATTTTTGAGAAAAATTTCTTTCTATGAATATTTCGATTTGTTTTCGAATAAAAACTCGTGAGATATATAAAAAGTAGAATCGTTGATCGCATTACGATGTATTTTTCTGAAGAGACATAAAAAAATGCATAAATTCAATTCTAAACTCAATATATGCAAGAACAACACTCTGAAAATAGACGAATCTTATGAATTAGTAGCAATAGTTCTACTGAAACATAATCAATGTCGTGAAACTCACATGACTTATCTAATATTCTTTGCAATCCAGCAGCGACGAGTTGTCAACTACGATAGATATCTGTAATTTCAATTAGTTTTTCAACAAGAATTCAAAACAAGTCAGTGATATGGCGTGGTTGTTTTGTTCTTCTCTTTACCCACATCCTTAAGAAACATTTATTGCATTGAATGATGTTTCTTTTGATACAAGACGAAAAAAGGAAATTGAAAGTCAATATGAATATATACTCATTCTGTGAGTATTTAAATCATATAAATAAAAAATATAACAGTTTTTGATTTTATACATATATATTTGATTCTCTTCGTTTATTTTAACACAGGAACGGAAAACCTGTCAGTTTTTATATCATGTGAACATCAGGTATATGACGAGAATAAAACTGTCACCGATATGCTCAAGATAAGAAACAAGACTTTTACAGTTCTTTTTCAATCAACATTTATTTTTAATATAAAACATCAGTCAACAATCTCTTCACAACATTTCTTTATGAGCAAACTCCATTTGAGCAATTGTGTTGCGCCATTTCCTGAGCTTTCAATCTTGTCTTGAGGGTGAGTGTGCGGATGAGGTGGATATGGATGTAGGTGCTAAGTGAATACAGTATCCTAACCCACGCCCACACCCTCAGAAATCTATACATCTATATACAACTATTGATTCTCCTATGTTTTATTGCATCATAGAATTGTAAAATAATTTGTGTAAGTCCTTTAGAACACCTTATCACATCTTATCATATTTCATGATATAGAATGACAAGCATATTTTCTTTTCAGCGGCATGACATACTTTTTTTTTCTTTGTCATTGTTTCAGTTAAGATTTATCTTCGTGCATTTACCTTTAATTGTCTTCTCGTTAAATGCGAGCAATGCTATCTAACGCTATTCTCATTGTACTAGCTTTGACTTGTGTATCATCAACATTCGGTCATTTGTGCTTATGGCAACCAATGCAACGTGGAAATTTCAGTCTCGATCCTCCAGGTTCACATACCTGTTATCGAAAAATGGCACCTTGTGGTGGATACAATTCATCAACATCACATCAACGAACCGTTCTCGAAGCGGGTACATTATATACTGTTTTATTTCAACAACATATAAATCATTATTATCCACCAAATCCTGGCAAACTTGACGTTTCATTTGCTAGAGGACTTGATCCTCTAGAAGAAGATTTTCAAACATTAGTCTCTTTTAATGACTACAATCCAATGAATCATAATACACAAACAAATTTCTCAATAGAAGTTCAATTACCAAAACAATCGTGTGATTATTGTGTTTTGAGAGTACGTTATCTAACAAATAATCCTGACGAAGAAGATTATGGGACAACATTTCATCAATGTTCTGATATTCAATTAACAGAAAGTTCGTCAAACAACATTCAATCAATCGCTCCTGAATACTATCCAGTCAAACAACAGAATGATTCACATGATTGTTGTACACCTCCAAGTTTTCAAACAAAATTCGTACATCTAATACCGAACATTAGCTACACTAGCTCAGGTGAAATCTATTATGATCAACCGTCTAAGCAAATGCGTTTCACAGTATCGATTATGAATGTCACGTACAACATGTGGATGAATTTCACCTCAGGCAAACAGTATTATTTTAATGTCAATAACCAAACTTGTCATCTCTTTGGATTGAATTACTGGAATGATTGGTGTTACGGAAATACATATAATCAAACTGAACAGTTTCTAACTGCTAATAAATCATGTTCAAGTGGCTCGTCTCGATTATGTAATCAATGGCAAAATGGAGATTTCTTATTTGAATCGACTTCATCAGGATGTTATCCATCTATACTTAGTCGACTATCAAGTAATGAACGAACTGTCTATTTCGATGCAAAAGATGGGCCAATCCCATCCGAAGTATTTCAACCGAATCCTATTTGTTTCAAAGAAACAACAATAATACATTCACATAATCCATCGGCTAGATTTTTAAAACAATTGCTACAAGAAAAGAAAATATGGCACAATTAATATTCTGTTAATAAAAACATATTTTATTTTAATTCTGAATACAAGGCGAAAAGAGCAGATAGGGTGCCAGCACTTACCCTCTTGCATTAATTTTATCTTTTAGCTAAAATAACAATTAAGTCATTTTTCTTTTTCTTCTTATTTTTATCCATAACAAAACAAAACAAAACACAATTCATAAAAATAAGAATAAATTTATTTTTTTCGATTCTTTTGTTTTTCTTTTTTTTTAATAATATCTTCAATTGATGAATCAATATTCCATCCTTTATATCCTTCCATTTCCAATAAATTCGAATCATTATAAGGGTTTTCAATATCTTTCTTCTGTTTTTTAACTTTTTCACTTTCATCCAACTGAGTCAATGATTCATCTAATAAATTATTTGTTGATATTTCTTTTAAGCAAAAAATGAATTAATTAACCTGTCTCTTCATCTCGTTTCTTTTTTTTCTTCTTTTTCATTGAGTTGTCCGTATCATTCACTGGATCGTCTGATGTAACTTGTTCACTGGGCACAATTTCATCAACTAAAAGAAATAAATTATTTGTTCCTATTTCTTTTAAACAAGAAAAAATTAACCTGTCTCTTCGTCGCGTTTCTTTTTTTTCTTCTTTTTGATGGAGTTATCCGTATCAGTCAATGGATCGTCTGATGTAACTTGCTCACGAGGCACAATTTCATCAACTAAAAGAAGAATATTATTCCAATTTAAAATATCATATAATGAAGAATTGATAAAGGTAAGAAAACTCAAATGACAAGGCAGAAGCTTCATGAACGATGTCTCTTGAAGTCCGATGTTGCCCCTTAGAATACTGTCAGTCTTCCGCAAAATCAATTCTAGTCTATACTCTCAATTTTCAAACATTATTTAACTGAAAAATATATTTTATCCTTACCTGGATAAGTTTGATCATCATTTATTGTTTCTGATTGTTGATGTATCTTTATAGCTTTTTTCTTTGATTTATCTTTAAAGTAATCTGTTATGGATTGTTTACTTGTTACATAAAGATTCTCTGATAATTTTTCGTTTTTCTTTAAATAAAATAAAAAAGAAAATAAGAAGAAAAATGAAAAGAAATATTTCAAACTTTTTCATCATCATCGTCATTATCAGATTGTTGTTTTGTTTCATTATCAGTAGGATTACTTTTAATATTTTTTTTATTCCGTCCAAAAATACAATCAAGTTCATGATTTGATCTGGAACTTAAATCTTTTCCACTTGATTGTTTTTTATAACTAAAAAAACAACAAAACGAAATTCTTTTATTTGAGTATGTAAAAAAGAACTTACTTAAATCTTGTATTTGTTTGTTGAACAGTTTGTGCAAAATTATGAATTGAAGATGGAGATGATGTAGGATGAGATTGTTGAAGTTGTTCAAGAACAGAATCAAATGATTGTGAATGTGCAATCCATGTATCATCATATTTTCCATTAACAAAACCAACTCCTTTCATATTGGATTTAAATTTCATATCAATATGTTCTGTTCTTCCATTTTCATTTTTTCCTAATCCAACACCTGATGTCCAACCCATTTTTTCTAACATTTTTTTACCAAATTTATTGTCATCTAAATTTTATTTTCAAATAAGTACATATCAAAAAATTATTTTATCTTACCTTCAACCCATTCAGTTTTGTTTTGTATAACATATCGAATTTTCGATCGTTTTTCATTGAGACTTACCATTATTTAAATAAAATTTATCAACAATCTTAAATATAAAAAAGAACTTTTATTCCAATTTATCAATTTTCGGTAAGACATAATACTAAAACATTGGTTTTTCTTTTTCGACCTACATGATTTGTTCTTTAAAAAGACCATTCATATAGGAATATCTATCCTCAGTAATAATAAACAGTAAAAAAATGATTTTATTTTTATGAAAACGATTATATGATATTTGAAAAATAAATCGTTATTTAATTTTTTTAATTATTATTCATATAGCGATAATCGACTAACGACATCTATAGTTATTTTGCTAATTCATGCTAATATTCTGAATTTTCGTCGAGTATCAAAGAGAACTAACTTCATATGACTTCTTATGAATACTTTAAAGATGAAGACATCGGAATTTATAACCTAGTTCATAATATAAAATGTTCTTGAGGTAAATAAAATCTCGTTTTATTCCACTTGATAAACTCCGTAAAGTTTACAACGAATAATTAGTAAAACGTATCGATGAAATTTATGTTTTTTAAGAGAACTATATTTAATGAAAGTATGAAGAAGAACTGACATTTAAATATATCTGTTAGCTTTTTTTGAAACTGCTTTCTTTTTCTTCTATAAAAATAATACGGTATATTGTTGTTCTTATCATGTCATACATGTTTCAGCTGTATCGAGAACGTGTTGACAGAAACTTTCTTCATACGACAAAATATTAAGATATTCGGTAAATTCACGCCGATCAATGAAAGTATAATTGCTTGCGTTCTGATAAATTATTAGTTTAAGGAACCTTATTGGATATCTCCTTCTATTATGATTTATTTATGAAAGATATCGTCAGAATAAAAATTCTTATTAAAATGAATTCGAAATCTCTTGTGCAAATCTTTGTCCAGCTTCAATTGCACCTTCTATATAACCCACCCATTCTAAAGCCATTTCTGTACTTGCTAACCAAATTCTTTTATCAACTAAAGCTTTTCTTCTATCTATCCATGTTGAAGAAGAACTAGGTGGATAAACAGCAGCATAACAACCTTTACTAAAATTTTCTTTCGTCCAATATTGAACAAATGTATTCATTGGTATTTCATTCATATTATAAAGTATTTCATATTGTTTTATAATTGCTTGAATTAATTCATCTTCATTTTTATCACTCCAAAATACTGCATCATCACCTAATATTAATCCAATAAGTGCATGAGGATTATTTGATTCAAATATATTTGAACAAGGTCCTTGTTGATCTGTTTGATTAATTGAAATATTTCTCCAAAATGGTTTCGAATAAATAAATACTGTTTTAATACATTGTCCCATTATCATCGGACAATTATTTGTTAATGATAATGATGGAAGAAAATTAATTGTTGATAATAATGTTGGAGAAAATGCAAGAAGAAGACGACGACATTTTATTTTATAACCAGATAACATTTTAATTAATATATTATCATGTAATTCATAATTAATAGATTCAACTGGATCATTTAAACGAATATTTTCAGTTTTACTCATTTCAAAACAAACATTTTGACTACCATGAGATATTTTATAATGTTGTGCACCATTAATGCCATCATCAAGTGCTGTTAAACCTCGAGGAATTGAACGAATCAATATTAACCAATATAACAATGATAGTTTATTTGAATGACATGCAGTTAATGTTAATATTTGAAGTTTTAATTCTTGTTGAATTCTTAAATCTTGATTTGCTAATGGATGTTCTTCAATAAATTGTTGAACAGAAATAATTGACCATTGAAATGATTTATGATATTCCAAAGCACATTCAACAGATGATAATTCTAAAGCCATATGATCCCATTGAGAATTAATTTCAATAATATTTTCAATTTGTTTATTATTTAATGGTATTAAACCAAGATTTTCACCTAAAAAATTTGGTTGATGATGATGCCATGTTTGTTCAATTAAGTCAAGATTATATTCTTTTATAAATGATAATATTCGATGTTGATCTGGTCCAATCCATTGTCCACCTAAATCAATAATCCATTGTTGATCAGTTATTTTATGACTTAATGTTCTGCCACCAACACGTGATCGACCTTCTATAATGAGAGTTTTTATAGATTTCGAAGAGAAATATTTTGCAGCTGAAAGACCAGTAAATCCTGCGCCAATAATAACAACATCAATCAATTCTATATTATCATCCATTTATCTAAAAAATCAATATATTCATTCTTCTTATCTATTGACATCGATATATTACTGATTTTCTTATTATCCAATGAAAATATTTCTTTTATATAAAACAATCTATATAAAGTGACAAACCTTAAACTCATACAAAATTTTGAAACTTCCATGCTAAAAATTATTTCAAATTTTAATTCTTCAAAAATTGATCGAGTCTCGTTTAGATTCAGGAGAAATTAGACATCTACTCATGCTGTCAGTGGCGGATCTAGGATTTTTATGATGGGGGACGACTTTGATCAAAAACCGCAATGTCATCGAGAATAATTAAAAAAAATTTTTTGAGACAGGATGCGATCGTACCCCCTCCTCTAAATGTACCATTGCATGCTATTTATTTCTAAGATATTACCAGCAGCCACAGCCATTTGAGGGAAGAAGCAGCTGCTTACTACTCTTTTCTTGGTGTGTATATACCTTTATACTGCTATACTTCAAAATCTGTTTAATCATGTACCGATAAGCATGTTATTTAAATAATTCTGTAGTATTTTTCTAATATTTTGTCTTTTTTCTCATCAATTTAACGATTGTTCAATAATATAATCTTCCCATTACAGACGAGTATTGATTTAGTAAATAATACATGTTTATTTTTATGATTGCCTGATTTACAATAGAGAAAAAAACTCGTGAAGTACTAAATAGTTTATATTTCATTTCGATAGAAATAGAAAAATGTTAAAAAATAGTTAATACATAATTTCAAAACAAGTGGGTAATGCTTTTAAACTGGTATTAAATCTGGTTGTTGAGTACGTTCTTCTTTCTGTTCATTTTTAGCATATTTTTTTAGTAAATCCATAACATGATGTTGATATTCGTCAGGTGTTTCTAATTTTCCTATAGCCATATAATATAAATCCCAATCATTGGATGGTGTATTAATTAATTTATCGTACAAATCAAGATCAATTGCATTCATTGTTGGTAAATAAGTTGATGCAAAATTACTGAGTAAAAGACAATTTTCAAGCATACCACGTTTTCGACTCTGATAGAGAAGACGACGACGTTTAATTTCAGTAGATTCACCTTTAGGTTGTTCCCATGCCGGTAATCGTTCTGGTGTTGATTCTAAATGTATTTGACGAACAAAAGGAAGTATTACAGATTGATTCAAACGAATCGTTGAATAAATTGTACGAAAAAGATTCATCTAAAGACAAAATATAGTTATAAACTACTATACAAATAGATGCGTTTATTTTAATAAATAAAATATATACTAAGACAAAAATATAGCTAATCACATTGTACTACAAAAAAAAAGGAAGTCAAGAATAGTATAATTCCTGAACGTGATTATGCATAATATTAACGATCTATTCACTGTTTTTGTCATGTGATGCAGTTTTGTGTGCGGATGTATCACGAAAGAGTAATGGACACATTCCTAATATGCAACCTATATAGGGAAAAAAAAAGAAAAATATGATCACAAAAAAAAGGTATGTTATAGTTACACTTACCAACAAATATACAGATGGTTTTGGACTATAGATACAAGACAGTTATTGGTATAGAGAATAAATTTTATGAAAATAAATCTTACCAATAATTGGGTTATTCGTACTTGTCGTTGTGCCCATTGACTAGGAGTTAATTTAGGTGGATTTATTCCAAATGCACCTAAAAATCGTCCACATGTTCGTTCAATACGATCAGCAAGACTATATATAGAATAAAGAAATTAAGTAATATTGTTTTCAGAATAAAAAAAACTTTTTTTGTTTAATAATTCACGTACCCAATACCCATAACATCACTAACAGCATTTCCCAAAGCAGCAGCTAGGTTAAATCTTAGTATATATGTATTTTATTTATAATATTATTTTTAATACCTGCCATTGTAGAAATACAAAAAGCAGCACCCAAGAATGTTTCGATAGTTTCACCCTAAATAAAAACGAAATCTTTTTTTTCATAAAACAGAACTATTTACTCACAGCAACAATCATAACAAAATTATCAACAAAACCAAAACCAATAAATGGAAGTCCAGTTTCAAGAAAAACTGAACAAACAATTTGAAAATAACTAAAGAAAATCGTTTTTTACCGATAGCTAATTGGGAAGTAAGAATTGGAATTGCATTAGTGCCTGTTGCTGTGGATACTTTTTCAACTTCGGCTAATTCATTTGTGAGTATTCGTCGATGGTCTGGAAATATATGAACATAAATATGTTTCGATAGATTTACTTTTTTAATTAACCTGGTTCAAGTGAAAGAACAAAGTCGCGTGCTAATTCATGAATATCACCGGGAGTTTCTAATTTTGTCGAATGAGCATGAGTTGATAGAGGCGCAGATTGTCTTAGACCATCTTTTGAGAAAAGAAATCGCGCAACTTTAAGAGAAAAACGAGCAGCTGAGGCTGATCCATGCGGAGATGACGTATTCGTTGGCGATACTGTGGAAAACGATGAACGAAGAAAAACTCGATGGATGATAGTTGTTCGCGGAAGCCAACAAGTATAAAGAGATAAACAAGGAGACATTTGAATTATTAAAACTGTCTAATCCATATATGTAGAATCATGCAGAACTGTTTTGAATTCAATGATAGGTTACCATATCCCATCCACTCAAGGACATACAATAACAGATGTCGGTAGTACACTATTGAGATACACTTTAACAAGTGTAATACCACAGTTTATAATTAGAGAAAGTTTTTCTTCCTGAAATTGCACTCTAGTTGATCATATCTCGAGGAGAACCTAACTGAAATTGTTTCCATTCATCATGAGATACCACAGATGTAGATTTCTACATTAAATCAACTTATATCGAAATTGTATTACTCAATAGGATGTTTTGGATTAAAACTATTTTCTCAGTGTGCATGAAGTAAGAGTTTGTCAAAAAGCGATTATAACTTTACAAAAATGTGATTTACTACGCGAGATTCTAAAGAAAGAAATTGTATTCTACATTATTGTCGAAAATCATATTGATCTTTTTTTATTCGTTACTAAGAGAATTTTATTCATTTTTTTTCTTGGAATTTTTTTCACGAATTATTCAAATAAAATAAAAATGTATTTTATGTTCTGTTTAGTTGTCATTATATTTGTTGTTGATAGCATTACAGTCAAACATCAATTTAAAGATCATCATCCATTTACAATTGATAATAATACTCTTAAAAGTAATGGAAAATCTCTAGATAAATTTATGCTTATTCCAAGTATTGGTTATGAAAGTAATAATGAATCTGATATGTTTACTGTCATAGTAAATGGATGGTATTATGAACCACTAAATCCGAGTAGATTTTAAGGTGGTAAAAATTCAAAGCTAAAATTTAAAGTTTAGGTTTACTACAGAATATAATTCAACTTAGTTTGCACACAGCACTTGATCTTTTTGATAGTAGTACAGCATTAAGTAAACAAGAAAGAGAAGAACGTTTAGGACCATTTTTTGTTCGTGATATTAAACAACACAAAATACAAATTAAACTAAGTAATTCAATTTCTCAAATTGTAACAACAGATGATAACGGTCGATTTCATGAAAAGATTATTATTAAAATATCTGATGAATTAAGTATAAAAGGAAACGTATTGAAATACATTGCCTCAGATAATGATTATCACGAACAAGGCAATGAAGGTTTTATTTATTTGATGAACAAGAAAAGTAAAATTGGATGTTCAATTATTTCTGATATTGATGATACAATTAAAATATCTGAAGTACCAGATAAAAAGAAATTAGCAATTAATACATTTAAAAAAGATTTTAAAGCAGTACCAGGTATAAATCATATATAACTTATCCAAAAGAAATCTATTATCGGATTTGAATGACGAATTAAGATCCAGACAGAACATGAGAGTAGTGTCATCCAAGGCTTTTCTATTATATTTTAAATTTAAAATATTTTCTGTGTTCATAGATGCATGAACATGAATACCTCTTTGAACATAAATAGACGTAGTTCCATTACATCTGATCGGATCATTCAGCGTTTTCAAAAGGGCAGGAATTAATAAAAACATAGATGTTTTTCAATATTAAAGGATATCCACTTATTCTCTCTTTAATTATTATTGAAATAATTCAAATATTCTCTTTCTTGTAGAGAAAAGTCTAGTAAACATAAATTGTCTGATTGCTTGCTTATATGTCCGCAGGGTCAAAAAAACATCGAAAACCTATTTTCCAGTAAATGTGAAGAGGATGAATTTCTACGAGAAAGAGCTAAGCGAGTTCTCGGATGAGCGTTACTTGTATATTTAAGGTATGTCTGATGTATATCAATCATGGCAATCGTCTCACAAATGTTTAATACATTATGTTAGTGCAATGCCATCTCAATTATACTATATAACACAAAAATTTCTTACTAAAGAAAAATTTCCGGGTGGTTCATTTCGTATGTCAATGATAAGATGTTATATATTAAATTCGAAATAATTTTGTTCTTATATAGATATGCGTCATTTAAAATTAGTTGGTCCGGATAAATATGATTTGATAAAAAAAATACTTGATTTTGCGAAACAAGATGCATCTCAAAAACATAAATTACGTGCCATACAAGATATTCTTGATCATGCGCCTATAACGCAACAATTTACTATGGTTGGTGATTCAGGTGAACTTGATCCTGAAGTAAGAAATTAAAATTTATACATTTCTGTATATAGAATATTGTTTAGATTTATGGAGAAATTGCTCGAAAATATCCTGATAGAATTAAGATGATTTTTATACGTCATGTTGAAGGTGGTAAAAATGATGATAATCGTTTTCAAGTTGCTTTTAACGATATACCTAATGATAAATGGAAGGTATTCAACAAGGCAAATGAATTACCTCATAAATTATACAACGATAATGATATAGACGATGCACCAATAAATCCAAATAATGATCTTGATAATGAGATTAATACAATTAGTTTATCAACATCTTTGTTTTATAATATCTATTCAGTACTTTTCATTTCATATTTTACAATGACATATAATTAAATAGTTCCTATTAATTTATTATTTTGTTTTTTCTTCGAAGTAAAAAAATAACAGTTGTGACACTCGATCTATTTCAAGTGATAAACTGTGCTTTAAATGCTAGACAAACGAATTTATAAAATGACCGATAATTCATATATGAACAATGTATTGTTCTTTGTACTATTGTTAGTTTGCCTATTGATCAATGCACAAACTCATTCTGATACGACACACACTAGAGAACAGAACTCGTCATAATTTAGCATGATTGATATTGACATCATCGATTAATCGAATAATATTTACTAGTCTCTTAGATTATGAAAGAAAATATAAAATGATTTCATAAGTAGACTCATAAATCAAATATCATAATACTAGAATATATGAATGTCAAGCATAGAAATAAAATATGGAGATATATCATTCTCGTTGATATGCATCATCTTCCACTAATTTATTTACAATCAAAGTAAAATCTTCAACTAATACTGATTTGCTAATTAATGTTCGTTTTTTATCTATTAAATAATTATTATATTTTCAAAAACTCAATTAATACAGAATTTACATTCTATCTATTTCTTTATGTAATAAAACTTACTATCACTTGAGAACATCAGACTGTGTTTTATAAAAAAATGATATATTAAAAAATACCTTTCAGAGAATAACCCATTTGAGGCAAGTAATAGTAACATATTATACTAAATCAGCAAGATATATGCATTTTGGATTTTGGATTACAATCGACAACGATTTAAATAACTACGAACATTATTTAAGTAGTGTTAGCAGTGTTTTATCTAGGTTTTATGTTCCGAGGGGGGGGGGGGCAAGCGTAATTTTCAAAAGGACTGCTATATAAAAAGTTTTACGATATAACAAAAAACAAACTTTTATTTATTTAATTTTACAATACAAGTAAATATTTCTTTTATTATGAACACGTTATGATAATAAATATGAAAACAAAGAAAAAATACTTTGAGAAAAAATCTATACTAAAGCGCAATTTTTCGCACTTTTTTGCTTTTCCAACGATCAATAATTAAATTTTTTATTGATCGTTTAAGGAAGTCAAAGATTTTTGTCCTGATGACATTCGTTGAATAATGTGACCGATATGGAATATACGACGTAAAAGAACAATTAGCCTAACACGAGCGAATTTTTTTCATCTTTTTGTTCTTTTGCATGAATATCGTGATGAATAATAGATAATAGACTATTTAGTACATCGTCAAACAGTTATATAATATTCATATTCGACTGTTCTCTTCTTTTCTCATCGAGAAAACACAAACTATACATCACTGATTGATGAAAGAGTAGAGTGAAAGTATTATGCTACAAAAAAATAAAGAAAATGTTAATTTTTTTTAATATAATAATTTCATATTTCCAGGGGGGCGAACCAAAATCCGGGGAGAGGGGGTGACGCCCCCACCCTGGATAAGACACTGAGTGTTAGACAAGTTTAAAGAGTGCTGACGATTAAATTAGCTATGAATCAGAAGATTAATCGCTAGCAAATATTTAAATAGTCTGGAGAATTTCCATAGTTAATGAAGAGAATAAAGTGATAGTAAAAAAATAGCAGACAACTCTTTAAATAGCTAAGAAGATATATTAAATAGTGTTGTATAAGTTTAACCCTTTCGTTATAGATTTTCTTTCGATATTGAAACTCAGTAAATCCTTAGACTAGCTGTTTTTAGAAATAGGAACCAGTGATGGATTAAGAGGTGGGTGATGAAGCGATCCACCTTGCTTTTTCGAAAATTGTAGTTTACGGCTGATAGGTACGTACGTAAAAAGTAATTCATCTATTTTCGCATGTGATATAGGGTGTGGTTGTGGATGTGAGGGCTGAAAAAGAAGAGAAACCCACACCCACCCTAAAAACGATTCCAAGATGTTGATCACATATACGTGCTACTTTCACCTCCGCGTATTTAATATTATGTCAAAGTCATATATGAAGAGCGTGTGTAAATTTCTTCATTAAATTAATCAAAATGTAAATTTTTGATTGACATATACATACTTCAGCAAAACAAATATATCGAAGTACTTTTCTTTATTAAAATTTTCACAAAAAGCAGTTTATTAATATAAAAAGAAAATTTTTTCTAAAGAGTACAAAGCATCTGATAAATACTTAACAGAAGAAAAGGGTTGTGCAGATTAATGTATAAATCCTTTTTTTCTAGAATATAGAATTTAATATGTTCTCAAATATTCTTATAATCTTCCTGATAATATTAAATCTATCAATAATTAACTATGGTAAGGTTATTTGACGTATATTATTGATTTTTCGTATTTCATATAGACCTGCACGTTTAACATATTTTCTTTTTATTTAGCTTATCGTATTAACTCTCAAGAATTACTATATCCATATGAAAACAATGTTGATAATAATGAAGAATTGAATAATGTAATACGTTTAAAACAACTATACAATAGACATAATTGTTTAATTTCTTGTGATTTTCAATTACAAGATATTTTATTTGATAATAAAATGAATCAATTTTCACGACGAGATACTAGATTTTTACGTTTTGGTAGAAAACGTTAGGTTTATAAATGTCTTTTCCTATTATATGAAATTCTTTAAAAAATAAAATCAATATTACATCGCACGCAAACACACACACATAGTAAATCATCTATGTCCATGTGACAAAAAGAAGAATAAACATAATCCATTAACTTTATGTAGACCTATCGAATCAATATTTGAATCTCTTTTCGATAGTGAGAGAAGAGAGGAACGATAATAGTTGAAATGATATTGATCAGTGGCGGATTTAGGGGGGACGATCGCCCTCTCCCTTCAGGAATTTTTTTTTTGATTTGTTACAGCAAAAATAGACGAAAAATAGGTTCACACTACTTCGATTGAACTCAAAAATAGTTTTTAGCTGAAATTGTCCCCCCCTCCCACCTTTATTCAGGTATCGCCCCTCCCTTCCAAAATCCTAGATATGTATTGAGTTGTGATAAATTAATGTTGAGACAAAATTGTATTGATTCTTTCATATGTAAATCTTATAAAAAAACGTTCATGAACAAAAAAAGGCTTAGCCAGATTAGATATCAATGTAATTAAATTGTATCCTCTGTAACTACGAACATTCTAACTAGCTTTTCTCGATTCATAATCACTTTTTAAAGCTAAACAAATATAAAATATGGCAGGATCTTTGTTCAAAACCACAAGTATATATTATAGCAATATTATTAAAAAAACTGTTAGCGCAATCCCTCAGGAATTAAAATGTGAAACACGAAATAGTTGCTGTAACTTCAAGTAATGAGAATTAATAACGTCTCTCACGATCTATCGTCGTTATAATTCACATCTATCACGATCGGTGATACAAATTAATAGTCATTCCTTAATATTAACCAACCCTAACACTTCCATATTCATATTTAATTCATGTCTCACAAAAAGATTCTAATACAAGAAGTATTCATCATATCAACTGAGTAAAGAGTTGTGATTATTATGCACAATTACCTTTATTTAATTTTAGATATTTTGACAAAACGAAATTCTCTTTATTCTCAACGACAAAGATTTATTCAAAAACAAATATAAATATCATCTTCTCTTCAATTGTATTACTTTATTTATTTATTCAGATGCAATCAACGATTCTTTACGCAAAGATAGTAATCCGTTTACTTTCTCAACAGTCAGCTTGATCCAACAATTGAGCAGACATTATCAAATATTTGCATACATTACAAGTACATAAGAACAATGCTTTAGCATGTCTTATTTGTTTAGAACTCTATATTTGATGCTTGATCATTATTTAAGTTATTGATGAGTTTGATATTTATCGAAATTTTATCAAAATATTACTAAGAAAACAAATATTATTCTAGGACGTATAAGTATGAATTTACTGCTTGTAAAACATTAGTAGTATTGTGTACTTCATCATCGAAAGAAACACATCATAAAATGCTTATCGCACTTATAGAACACTTGTGAAATGCCATATAAATCATTTACTTCACAGTTTAAAAGTGTGCGACTACTACAAACTTTAACAGAAAAGAAAAGATGAAACAAATAAACGATAGGAAATACAATTTATTGATATTAAATATTATCACAAGTAGCACATAGCAGTATATAATAAAATGACAGATAAATTTCGTTTTTTTATTTCAATATAAATCAACAATAGTGTAAAACAAACACAGTAATATCGAATAAAATAATTCACAGGATAAAAAAACAAGAAAATTAATCTGAACGGCAAAAAAATACATAAATAAATTGGAATGATATTTTTTGTTTGTTCATGAAGGTAATATTGGTGATTCACATGTATTATCAAACCACCATTTGTGTATATCATCAATAATATTAATTTTCGAGTCGAGATGAAGACGTAAACAAAGATCACAAAATGGTGTAAAAAATGCTCCTAAACCCCACACATAATCTTTTTTCCATGAAAAATAGGATAAATATTTCTCTTTATTTGAACGAGTTTCATTAAGATATTTAGCTAATGATATCATTGTAGAAAATTGTCTCGTATCAATATATCCCGATGGTGGAATGAAAGAAGAATAGTTTGAACGTCCAAAAACTACAGGCACAATTGGATATTCAAGTGCAGCAAAAAATTTCTCAGCTAGAAAAAAACAAATATGTATATAGGAGTGATATAATCAAATCAAACGTACTTGTATAGTCTGTACAAATACTATTTTCAAAACTAAGAATAAAATAATAATTTTGGCTAATAAATTCTCGGCAATTCATATTTCCTGGACATGCTTCACCACATCGTCCATATACTTTAACATCAATATGACGTTGTAATTCTTTAACAAATTGTAGACGTCTACTACTTCCGCCACAGTTTGATATTAAAGCAGCAGCTGTGCCTAATTTTTTCTTTTGTAAAATTTCATCAGACGGTCGATGATCACGTATTTTTGTTGTTAAATTAAGTTTACGTGTTGCATTTTCATGTAACATTAAACGATAATAATTACTTGATGTATGAACATATGCATTACCAGAATAATAGGATGTTACTACATGTGATTGATGTCGATAAGACATTGTCCAATTAAAAAATTCTTTATAAGCTTGTAAATTAGCTGTATGAGCTGGAGATTCCCATAGAGCAAATACGAAACGTTGATGTGGTAAACGCAATGCTTTACCACGATTTATATCAACACCATCACGCATATGATAAATAACTGCATCTGCTTGACGAAAACGTTTATAATCACTTGTTATATCACAACGATTAGACAAAAACGGACAATAAAGTGAAGTCACTAGAATAAAAACAAAATATAATTTAAATGTCGAATGAGATTTAATCAATATCTTTTACTTTTTTCTGTTGAGGTTTTATTAGGTCGAAAACTACCTTCCCATGTTTGATCACCAAAAAATCCATTTCCTAATAATATAAGTTTACTAGTATTGCCTATTAATGATAGATTCTGTGTAAAAATATGAATAGGTAGACGAGGATGATAATCGGAAAGACTAGATTGAAATTCTTTGATTGGAGGTATCTTTTCAATTTTCGATTCATTAGTTATTGATATATTATTTGAATTTAAATATTCTTTTGTATAAGATAATAACAATGGTAATGTATTTGTATAGTATTTTGTAAGGATTACATATAATAGAACGGTAGTTGATGTGAATATACAAAAATATTTAAAATATTTTCTATATTCCATCAAAGTAATACCTAGAAAATAAATCAAATATGCAATTCATATTACTTTTCTTTTCCATTTATACTGAATTACGAGTATACCTTGATAAATACTGACTGAAATAGCAATAAAAATCTTTTGATTCAGTACTTTTCTTTGCTACACATTTTTTATATAAAAAAATCGATTGTATAAGCAGATGGTAATATTTAACGCTACATTAAATCACGGCGCTTTGTATTTCAGTTTACATACACTTTAATCAGACAAAATCAAATATAAACTCTGTAACTTACACTAGACGGTTGCACTTTTTACTTTCATAGGGGTTAATCATTTTATTAGAAATGGTGAAAACATCGATTATGGATTTTTATATGTTTTCATTAATTGATGAAAAATTAAAAAAAAATGAATTCGTCGGATAAGAATAAATAGTATTGGTTTTAAAGACAAGTTGCTTAGATAAATTAAATATTTATTTTTTCGGTTGTAAAAGGGTCTTTCTGCATCTAACGGTGTATTTTGTTGTGTCCTGAATTAAGAGATTATAATTGTAAATAATAGAAAAAATGCAGCAGTCGTGTATTGAAATAAGTTTTTTCACGTCATCGAAATGTTAACTGCCTTGCAAGGAAAAAGTACAAGTATTAACGGTTCTTTCAATACAAAACGCAAGGTGAAAATTGGTGCACATATATGTCATGTTTTACTCATTCATAAGCGTCATCGAAGAAAAAAAAGTTTAGTAATAAATGAGTGGAAAAAAAGAACTTACTTCTTGTCTTTCTTGAGATCTATATTATTAATCAAGATATGATCGTTCTCGATTTTGATCATCTGTTGTCTGGATGCTATTCACACTTTGTGTTAGTTTACATTCTATAAGCAGGAATGACTAAGAACGTTGATTTTTGTTATGAAGAAAAAAACACGAAGATAGAAGAAAAAACCGGAGTGGAAGAAGTAGAGGAGGAGAATAATACTATGTAAATAAGAATAGAGAGTGACAGAGAGAAAAAAAAAACAGAACTGTGTGGAGGAAAGAATAAAGGTCAAAGAAGAAAAAGAATTGTACGACAGCATAATCATAACTACTACTACACCTAGTTCAAATAAGAGCTCTTTTACTTTTCGCAAGGAATATATCGATAGTTTTCAAATTAAGAACATTAACTAGTGAGAATGTATATTCATATATACTCAACATAAATAGTATTAAGATTTAAATGAATTTATTTATCTAAGATAATAAATATACTGATGTAGATGCCACTGGTTAGCACTTTTTGTTCTGACACATGATTCTTCATGTCAAGATTATCGAAAAAAACATCAATTATATTTGTACGTGCTAATACAAAAGTATAGAAAGAAACGATGATATTAGACATTATCAATATCGTTTTTGGCATTTCGTAATTGTCAAATACTCAATAAAAAATAAGATAAAGCGAAAGCTGTATGTATTTGTTATTATACTCTAATCTCTATATTATACGATTTACTAGACGTTATCTTGAAACGGCATTGAAAGAAAGATAAATGCTCGAATATGTACAAATATTCCAGTGCTGGTTATAGTTTTTCATGCATTTTCAAATTTCAGCTGATTGTAATAACACTCTGAAAGGTTAAAATTCCGTAATGTCTCATTAACATACTACGAAGAAGCTAAGAAATTATGCCCTAAAGTAAAGAATTCATATTGATCGAGTATCAATACGTATATTCAATGACATCTCAAAGATTTATTCTACAAGGTCTTTCGAATAATATCGATATTCTTCTAAATGTATAACGAGATTTTTTTAAAGATATAATTTAATTAGTTGTAACACACAAACCGAAATATTATAATCTAAGATGCAGATCTTTATTCGTTCACAATTGTTGGATAGCCTTATGTAAAGTTCTTCAAAATACATCTTGAGGTTAAAAAAGTTTATTCTGTTTCGAAACATCTATCCACACTCTCATGCGTAAGTTTCATCGTGCACATCTTTAGTATACCCAAAAAAATGATATTTCATTAGACAATCATTATATAAAACATCTTACCCATATTTAAATGCCTAACCAACATCAATTAGGCATGCACCAGTTCTATAAAGTCGATAAATAATTTTTGCTATATAAAACACCCAGTCCTCTGAGTCATTTAAACTCACTATAGATCAGACTATACAACGCTATTGTTAAACTTTGAAAAATAAGACGGGAAGAAAAAAGGACTGAGGGAGTGACTGGGAAAAAAGCCAAAAATTTCCGATTTTTTAACAGTCACCCCCCAGTCCTTTATTCTTCCCGACTAATTCTTCAAAGTTTAACAATAACGTTGTATAGTCCAATCGACAGTGAGTTTAAATGACTCAGAGGACTGGTAAAGACTGGGTGTTTTATACAGAAAAAATTATTTATCGACTTTATAGAACTGGTGCATACCAAATATCGTACTGGTATTGTTACATGCCTAACAATAGATACAAAACAGGGATGGACAACTTCGGATGTGTACCATTTCGATTTCGAGTTGAAGTTATACATTTCTGATATAAAAGAACTAGTAAATGCTATGCGAGACAAATTTGTGATGTTAACGATATTTTGATTCACATAAAATTGTTAAATCTTTTTAATATTTCGTAATTTTCTCTTTTTTTCTTTGATTGCGATCAATAGAAACAAAATACTCTTATGTTCTGAATTTCGTACAGTACATAGACACATTAAATAAATAAATAGGTACTTCAGGGTATAGAAAAATTCTCGTAAAAAAGAAAATTTACCTTGAAAACAAAACTGATGTCTCGAATATCGCATGAAAATATATTATTGTATTTGATATATATGTATACACGTAGCCTATAATGCTTCCAGGTAAAGAACTGACAGCTGATTTTATATAAGAAATTCCGTGTACGTCAAGTTCTGAATATTTTATCATTAGATAAATACAAAAAGGCAACATATTTCTTTCTTTCTTTCTTTTTTTTATAACTATTCGGGAAATTTCATTATCAAACACAAATCTTTAATTTGATAAAAATAAGCATATGGATATGGAATTGACAAATAGATTAAGTAAAAACAAAAATTTTGTTTATCGATGTAATATTTCGTAATTTTTATGCATTATAACCAAGTAGACGTTGTACACTTGGATAACGCATACGAATTGGCATTGTCTTTTGTTGATCAATATAGAGACTATTCTTTTTCATTTCAATTTCTTTGACAAGTATTTGATGATCATCACGAAGTTTTTTCAAATTCGATTCGGCTTCACGTAATTCGCCAGTAAGACTATCAATTGATTGTGATAATTGATAAACTTCACCAATTACACTTTGAATAGAAAAATTTATATATGTATAAACAAAAAAAGAAATCAAGTTATTTACTGATCTTGAGCTGGATCATGGCAAGATTCAATACCAGGTCGAGCACGTCGATCATTCAAACGAGTTTGTGCTACTTTAAGTGGTGCTTCTTTAGCACGTATTGATGCTCGAAGCATATCAATCTTTTTCTCAGTTTCAGCAACAGCTTTTAATGTCTAAATGAATACAAAAACAAAAAATTTTCTCATATTTATCATTTGTAAATTACTTCACGCATATTGTAAGTCATTTTTTGTAAAGCATCGGACATTTCAGCAATACGTTTACCAAATTCTGTTTCAACAACATCAGCTTGTTCACGCATATCACGTGAAGTATCAACAAGTATACTATCAATTAAAGAACGTAATTGAATTGATGCCATAAGTTGATTTTGACCGTTAACAATATTATCATGAGAATTTTGTGCCCATGATTCCGGTGTTGATTGGCTGAAAATGATTTATCAAAAAAACGATGGAATTTACTGTCTAAGACAAAAAAACTTACTTGTCATAATGTCGAGCAACACCTGGATAAAACATGATATCAACATCTTCATTACGACGATTTGTTGCTTTAGCATCAGCTACAGATGCTTCCCATTTATTACTCCAATCCATTTCAAGATTTTGTTTAGCATTACGATTAGCTCTAATAATATAGAAATTTCGCATTTTCAATAAAACATTCTGAGTGAGGCTTAGTATGAAAACGGAAGATGTCATGATTCATTTTTACCTAATTTGTTGTTCAGCAGTCATAATGGTTTGACGTAAAAGATTTTGTACGTTATTAATAATTTCTACTTCTTTTAGTAGAGCAATTTCAACGGGATCATAGACACGATCTTCACCATAACGACGATCTCGATTAGCTAAAGATTCAGTAGCTATATGAAGTGGTGCTTCAGTAGCATCTAATGCATTTTCTAAACGTTTTTTTTGTGCTACAAGTAGATCAGTTTCATTTCTAACATCTTCTATCATTCGATTAAGTTCAAATTTCCAAAAATTAACATCATGTAATCTATCGGAAAACAAAAAAGATCGAAATATATATTTTTTGTATTATTAAATAAATAAACCGTTGTTGTAATTTTTTTGTTGATAATGCTTGTGTTTGATGTTGAAGTGCAAGTGTTTCATTTTCAGTTCGAGTTGCTTGCCATCGTTGTTTTTCGGAATCTTCACGATCATTGAATGCTTGATAATATTTTGCATAATTATTTTCATGCCATTCATTTGGATTATATTTATTAGTACGAAAACCAACAGTTGATACACCTATACTAGTTCCTGTCTGTCCACGATAACTTGGATCGAATTCATAGTTTTCTGTTGACAACATCTCTATTCGACAGGAGATATTAAATTAATAGATCAGTTATAAAAAGAAATTGAATTGTTAAATTTTTCGTAACTGATCATTAGTTGTCGACAAACATTTTCGGTTGACGTTGCCAAGTAACAGACTTTAAAACATAAACGAATGATAAAATTCGTATTACTTCATATATAGATGACATCTATCAAAACGGTCCATTTAGAACTTTTTAACTATTACATAAAGTCGATTCAAAAAGAAGCAAATGAATTGTTAAATGATCACCTGTATTAAACTATTCATATGTATTAGATATCAACATAATTTAAGAGTTAAGAAGAATTAATTCGAGCAATCAAGTTTACTTGATCAGAGAACAACCATAGGGGCAAGTACAAAATTTATTAATCGTAACGAGTATGATAACTTCATTGTTTGCATTGACTCTGTTCAGTACGCCGACGCGGTTGACTACAATAGCTCCACTGTCTTGTTCAAGTCTTGATAAAAAAATATTCGATTTTATATTTAAGATTTAGTGAAATAAGTTGTGATTACATAGGTGTAAAAATAGCTCCTAGTAACTATATTGAAGAGTTTAAACTATGTTGTACTTATTTTAATGATATTAGATTATTTTTCATATGTATTCTATACTAATCTTATGTTATTAAAGTTTGCAAGAGTCCACTGTACTTACGCCTAAAATGTGAACAAAAACGTAAATCAAATTTATGATATTTAAGGTTATAAAACCAAAAGATCGATTTAGTTAAGAATAACTGAATTATGAGAGAACTGCTTTAGACAAGAACTTTTTTTTTATTCTCGTTCGTATTTATACGTTATTTGATTATACAATTTCTATCATTATATTCAATACTTCATTCGTTTGAAATAATACTCAAATATGTTTAACCATTCTTTTATTTTAATCGTATAACAAAGTAAACAAAAAAACAATTTAAGGTTCATCGGGTGGTGCTGGTTGATCTTTTTGTGTATCATATGAATTTAAAGCATGCAAAAGTTTTTTCTCTATTTTATTTAATGCACGAATAGTTAATACCAACGTTGTATGTTTTAATATACTATAAACATTTAAACCTAAAATAAGATACAATTAAAAGTTTTATTTTAAAGATTTTGAAAAAATTCTCTTTACCATAAACAGGCATCACTGTAAATCCTTCAGTTTTAGCACTTGCAAACATCATATTATGTGGCATAATATCCGTACTAAAATAAATACATTGCAATGATTATTATTTTGTTTAATGAACATACTCATCAATAAAAAGAATTGAAGGACCCCAGAAACGATCTTCTGTTAATTCTTGAAGATACTATTAAAAAAAACGAAAGAAAAAATTTTCAAAAGAAAAAACGTATTCTTACTGTTGGCTGATGAGTTGGTAAATCAAATGAATCAACAAAATGAACATCATTCTAAATAGAATTTAAATAACAATTGATCAATCAATTAAATAAAGAAAATATACTTGATGTAATTTAACAGTTAATGCTGTACAAAGACCTTCAATACGTTTTTCTTTTGGTAGAACATAAAAGAATGATGTTGGACCTTTAGGTCCATTAACTTTATAACCACCTTTCCATTGAGGATCATATCTTGAGCTATGTCTTGCACGACCAGTACCTTTCTGTGGCCACGGTTTTCCTCTCATACTTGGATATTCATGATGTGGAGGTGTATATGCCCAATCCTTTTATTTAAATAATAAACTTTATTCAATATTATTCAAAAAAAAAAGAGCTTACAATTTTTTTATAAGTTTTTTGCCATTCAATATTTTCATAGAGAATATCCAATCTAAGATTTAAAAAAAATGAAATATTAAATAAATTAAGCAGTTATATACCTCGGTGAAGTTTGCCAAATTGATGGATGTAAATCAACAATACCTAATTTTTCATCACGTTTTTGTCCTAATGTTTCAAGCCAAGCTTGTAATGGTGGATAACGTACATGAGGATATTCTAATTGTCGATTGACAATTAATGGAAGTTGTTGAGAAATTGGATTTGATGTTGAATCAGCTAGAAAATATACATATAGATCATTGATAAATTCTAGATAATACTATTAATATACAAGAAAATGGTGGTGGTTGTGTAGAAGTTTCAAAATGTCTAATGGATCGAATAGAACATTGTCGGAGAATCTATGATAAATACATTTTTTACAGGAATTTCTGAAAAACAAAATTACCTTAACTAACGATAAAGACTTTATCATGATTGATTTTCAATGATAATAATTCTTTAGTTACTTCTATATAACCGCAGAACGTTACTCGAATGATTTCGAGGTTTGAGTCACATATGCCAATCTTTTATTGGTTGTTGCTAAGTTATTCTCAATAGAGGACGTAATAGTTCGATGTTATACATCATTTTTACACTATAGTGAAACATATTTCTAACGAAGTAAAGAACATAACCATTTATATTTTGCCATATTTCATACAGATATATATTTTTTTATAGCGTAAAAACGATTCGTGACTGCTGAACAGTAAATTTCTTTCAGTAGATATGTCCTATACATGTTTGCTTGATTATATTGATGAAGTATTTTATCAAAGAAAAGTAGTCGAACGATCTGGATCTCGTTTCAATTCATTCATATGTCAATTTTTTTAGATCAATAAAATAATTATTCTTGGCATTTTGCTTGGAAATCTAAACAATACATTAAAAAAAAATTGTCCTTGAATTACATCATAAGGAAACCTTAGATCTGAAAACAAATTTGTACATCGACCAATTAAAATATATTGAAAAGGTTTCCACAATTATCACATTGACAATCTTTATTAGAAAGAGAATAATTATTTTGATAACGTATGATTGAAATCGTCGAATGAGCGTCCTTAGGCCATCTTTACCTGACAGTATTAGCAAATTAATATTATCAAACTAATATTGTATGGTAAGATGAAATGCAGTAGCTCTTTTAAATTTAATGAAAAGAAGAAAAAACTGATAAGGTTTCTTCATATGTACTTACGTTTTTGTTCTTATATTATTCAAATGACGAATGTTAAAAGAAAAGTTGTCTATTTATACAAAAGTCAGTGTTGACCAACTTTCTTTCTCTCTCTCTCTCTTACTCTTGTTCATTTTTTTTTGTACGATGGTAAAGGGCGTATTCTGAACGAATTATATTGACGAAGGATTATCGTTGATAGGCACGAGTTTGTCCGCCCTATCTAACGATTGGATCATTCGTGTTCAATCTTTCGATCCTTTTCCTAATATATACAACAGACAGATAAACGGCACGTGTAATTAGTTTGCCAATTAGGTGATGGGTATTAGATATTCACATTTGTTTGTATGTACACGGATGTAGAAGAATATCCTGTTGACAAAGATGTGACATCTTTGTTATATTTGCCAAAAGAAAATAATGTTATATATATATGTATATATATTGAGACATTTCATGTACAGAGAAATAATCTTTACGAACATAATAGTATATAGACAGTTGTTTTATAAAAGATACGTACAAAATAAACACATATTCATCGATCATTATAAATCAGTTTATATGAAAAAAAAAGAATTTATTTGATCACCACAATTTTTATTTTTATAGATAGAATGTTTGCAATAGTTCACAATCCATTGATTTGATGAAATAGTTTTCATATGAATACTTTAATAGATGTATAAATTTTTAATTTAATCCTATCGATATTGTTAATAACAAAGATAGAGATGTACAACATATTAAAATCTTAGATATTGTTTCTGATTCAATCGATATTTTGTAGAACATTGTTTGTGTAGATATGAAATCGATTTCGCCCTGTAAAAGTGTTAATTATTACATCTGAATATATTATCAATGAAAAGACTAATATGTATTCAATTCATACTTGCAAAAAGATGTTATATATAGATTATTTTTCCAGTCAAAGGTTCGTTTTCTTTATTTTTAGTTTAGTAAAAATAACTTTTTTTGTACTTATTTCTAATGGAAGATTTATTCTATTCATTCAAGAGAAAAGAATTGATAAATATACATAATTTTAAATAAAACTCTTTATCATTAGTAAAATATTCTTTTCATAGAATAGAATTTAATCAACCATAAATTATTCAAATGATCTATTAAATAATTAAACATCCATGACAGTTATTAGTTCATTTAAAGTACAACTCTATCGATTTTTTAATAATCTCTGTAATTTTAGCAAATATCAATGTTGGATTATACAAAAAAAACTTCATCTATTATGTTCTATTAACTAAACAATAATAGCAAGAATCATTATCAATCTGAGTGGTAAACAAATAAAAGTCGTGTTAATCATAACTAGAAAATATTTTGTTTTTCTATTCATTCTACTGAAGATTACTTATCAATAATTGATTGACATCATCGTATTTTTTTGTCCCTATATGTTATAGAATATCTATATTTAATCGGTTTGTTTTTTCTAAACAACAAATCATATTGAAGTATTTAATATGATTCAAAATATATTTTTCTATCTATTGCGTTGTATAAAAACTGTTTTTTTTATTAGATAAATAACGTATTTTTCCTATATAAGATAGATGATGTGAGATAATATAATTAATGTTGTTCCGACCAAAAGAACACCCGTCTACAATCTAATTATGTTGCATTAGCGTAGGCAAACTTTTTCTTTTCCAATATATGAGCATATTATTAACATGTCAGGAGAAATACACGCGCGTGCTATTAACTCATTATTATAATGTGAAACCTTCAAGATACTACCTTCAGCATTTTTTCTTATATTAAAATTTTTCTAAAAATATAATCTACGAAATAGGCATTTATTGGATTTATTATAGCATAATATTGAAAGATTTTTTTGTTATGCGAAATCACAAATAAGATGTAGAAAAAAATGCCGATTCATCAGGAACTATGACACGAAAGATGTATGTAATATAAAAAAAAGAACAAATTTATCTGATTATCAGGACATTTTCCAGCTACATGTTCGTTTATTTCTCTTTCTCTTTCTCTTTCTTGACTTTTCCCATTATAGAAAAAGGCGAAGAAAAAGACGAAGAAGAAGAGAAAAAGAGTTCACAACAACAAACACCTTTATGACAAGCAGCAAGATTCACAATGCTCCATCAAACATCAACTAAACCAGATTTATTCATGTATGTATTTCTCGAAAAGCTGTTTGTTTATACTAATTATTTGGCTGTTACAAAATGCTAATTTCTCTATATTACAAAAACAAAATCTCGTTCTCTTTCCGTTTTCTTTACATCATGCTTTTAAGCTGATAGATAGAAAGACTAACAGCTACTATAATAAAAGCACTAACGGCAAAGGATCATATTAAATAGAAAGGATAGTTATTTACTCTTGTTGGCTTCTTATATTTCTATTCTTTTCTAACATTAAACTTAGCTTTTTTTTTTCTTGAAACTTATATTTCGATGTATATATGACTAATACATAGAATTTTACTTATCACGACATATAGAAGACGAAGAAGACAATTTTCTTCTTCTTCTTCTATTTCTTCATATATTTCGATCGAGGTACATCATTATATTTACTTATAGACTATTATCTAACATATAATTTATAAATGCACGTTTCAAGCAGGTAGATTATTTATTTATTTATATATAATTAATAATTAATCAATGATATTATTTTCTAATTTATTATAAAATATTTTTTTTCTTTAGGAAAAATAGTTGTACTGATTTACAAAGTCGACTTAAAATTAGAAAAATATTAGGTGTTGGAGATACAGCTGGTTCTAAAGTTAGTCAAATACTTGGACATTCAGATCATTTAGTTTTTCAATTACCACCTAAACTTGCTGCATGGCTTCTATTAACAACAACATTATTTAGTTGTTTTACTGTGATGGTAAATATAATGATAATCATTAACAAAAAAACATACAATTATTTTCATAGGGTCTTCTTTGGCCATCATGTTTACAATTTATATTACCCGGTGGTTTCGAATCAACGCTACATCTTGGCACATCATATGCTTGTATGTCTAATTCAATTTTGTTTTTATATTATCAAATATTTTAATATTTAGTTTTGGCAACTATGCTTGGTTTAACACTTCGATCGGGTGACAAAACTTCTTTAAGACTTGTTCTTTTTTCTCTTGCTCTATTTCATGGTTTATCATTTTTTAGTAAGTTTTCTTCTATATTTATTTACATGAAGAAAAAAAACAAAATCTTTTTTTTAGTTTCTATATGGTTTCTTAAAACAAGTGATACAAAAATAAAGTCAATGGCATCACTTATTCTTCATTTCGGTTGTCTATTAATAAATGCGCATTTTTATCGATCAATTATTCGATCTGCGTCATCATTTCGATCACATACTAAACTCAAATCATATTTTCATTCGATCTTATCATTTTCATCATCAATCGATAATAATACTGGACATGATTCTTCTTAAACAAAAAATAAAATAATACTGTATATAATATTTATTGAATATGAAAAGGATCTACATATAATTATGATGACGCATATTTGTTCTTCGGGTAATACATTAGACAATCATCTAAGAAAAATATAAATAAACATTGGTAGAAGAATAATGTTGATTTATATAAATTGGACAATATTCCTTTAGACGTTGTAATCGAATTGGATTATATTGTTTTTTAATAAAAGAATTCTCATTTAAACAGTACTGTATTAGACAGTAAAGACGCTATGAAATAGATTTCATTGCAATGCGCGAGATGATCTCTAGATTTTAATCTATCTCATTCAATGAGATTGTTAAAATAAAAATGTTTTTGATGGACAAGTTCACGTGAGAATATCATAAGAATCTTGGGTACACTGTGAAGACGAAGAAAATGGAGATGAGAAAAAAGTCAGTAGTTTTCAAAAAAAATGAAAGATTTTTTTTATGACAAGATATAAGTAGAGAATATGTCTAGAGTCCACTTCTGATTTACAGGAAATAATAATAATAATGGAAATGTTCTGTTCTTCACATACTATTCGCTAAAAATAAATTGAGTTCTATTATTAATCATAAAACAGAATATAGGATATCACAATATAGATCTTTGTTAAACATGTGAATAATGCCGACAGGATTTCAGCGTATTAGGAATTGGTAGACATCATTAAGAAAAATCAAAGTAGCTATAAAATTAGAAATCACATGATTTCTCAAAAAAATATAGAACGAAGATTCTCTTTCTATCATATACTTGTTGTAATGAAAAACTATATATATGCTAAAAATAGTCCTATAATTTATACAAAAACATATCGAGAACATCAAAAAAAAACAACAACTCTGCATCTTGTAATTCAGATCATAATAGAGTTTTTCTAGTCTCTTCAATTAAAATATACTCTTTATCATAAAATGTACAAGGTTATATGGGAAAATTAATATGTAGTACTCTCTTATCTAGCACAACAAATTTATTATAATGAGAACATACAAATTATGTGTTATTATTTGAAACTATCGCCAGCTAAATAAAGAATTCTGAATATAAAAGCTCCTATTAATTATTATATGCAAGCCATCTGATATCAATATTTTCATGGGAAAAGAAGACTACAAATTTCATAGTAAAATTTTACCCAGGAATGAGATATATGTAGATTTGTAAAGAAAATTTTTCTCTATCGAATTCTATTGAGTACCATAGAAATCGATTTTTGGCTTGAATTCAAGCCAATTAGAGACATGGACCCAACTTTCTTTTGTGTCCGTGAATCTCAATAAAACATTGATTTGAGCCCTCAAAATACATCAGTTTGTAGAGAAAACATCAGAGAACAAAACCTTCACCTCAAAAAAAATTTAATGTAAAAAATAATTTATAGGCAAGAGATTTAGTTGACTCCAATACAGATCTCTAATTGGCTTGAATTCAAGCCAAAAATTGATTTTTACGGTACTCAACAGAATTCGATAGAGAAAATTTTTCTCTACAAACCTACATATCTCTCATTCCTGGCTCAAAGATTTGTAGTCGCCTTTTCTTCTACTCATTTGTATTCTAAAATCTACTATAGATAAATTATGACATTATCATCATATATCACGATTTCACGATCTTATCAGCGATTTTTTTTTCTAAAAAATCGTCCGAAATGACGATTATTTTTGGATGAAAATATAGTTATCATAAATGACAGAGTTTTGATAGACTAGATAATTTAACATCATTTGATACTGCACTATCCATGCCACCAAAAATCCCGTAAAAATTGGCGATTTTATCGTGATATAGAAGTCGATTAATTGTGAGATCTATTGCGATATAATCGTCGATATTTTTTAAAATCGCGATTAATCACCGAAATCTTGGCGATTTTGACGACATGGGAATGTTCAACTTATTATTTCTCTTGTTTACAATAACGTATTACGCTTCATATTTGAATACTTTTTGCCTGTTTACTTTCATTTTTACAAGCAAAAAGATAAAATTAGTAAATACAAGTGAACAAAGTTTTAAGAAAAGGTAACAAATGCAAAAAGAAAAAACGCCGAAAAAAAAGAAAACGAAAAGATTGAGTTTACTTTGGTTACCACTCAATATATATATATTTTTTCAAGGCAAGAACAACAGCAGTATCACTGGAATAGATATATGTACGCAAAAAAATTCTCTTGTGTAAATGAATACGAAAGAAACAAGAAACTTTGAAAATTTGCAATAGTATTAAGAGTGGAAATCTATTAGCAAAAAAAAACGAAATCGTCTGAATCAATAGGAAAAAAACAGGACAAAAAAATAACAAACAAAAACAGAAATCTTATTATAGAGAAGATGAGTTTGTTTTTCCGGTAAACATCGATATAGACCCATCATTAAAGCCAACAGCTAGTAATTGTCGATATTGATGAAAAGATAGACATGATACTTGAGCAAATTTTGAATGTTTTATATCGAAAAGAAGATCACCAAAACATGTTTTAAATTGTAAAGCATTTGGTGTTGCTAATGCTAATACATTACCTGTTGAATGTACATCAGCAGCTAACACATTTTGTGATGTTTGTGGTACAGATAATTCAGCACTAACACCACTTTCAATATCCCATCGTCTTAATTGACCCATATTACTAATTGATAATAAACGATCATTTGTATTAACATTTAAACTTATTATAGGAGAATGACGATTTATTGGTGTTGTTGGTGGTATAATAAGCACTGGACTATCACGTGAACGTGTATCAAAACAATTTACAGTTCCATCACCCATTCCAGCTGCACAAAAACCATTCGAATCTGATATAAGGCAATATACACCACTGGATGCATTTGTATCCATAGTATATAAACAACGTTCACGTTCAACATCCCATAATGCTACTATATTCATATCCGTACTTGATGCATATATACGACATAAATGTTGATTCCAATCAACAACAAATTTTGAGGGTGTTGTAGAAACTGTAGTCGATGTAGTAGAAGAAGACGCACTGGAAACATTTGATGGCGAACGTTGATGATGAGTAGTAGCAGTAGTATGGAGAGGATTATGTTCATCATATAAAGCGATCCAAGATGAAAGAAGACGTTGTGTAGATTCATCAAATATACGAATAGCATGATTATCAGTTCCAATACAAATTAATGTTCGATCATGTGCATTAATATAATCCAATGTATTGATTGTTGAGCCTACTGAACCAACCTGAAATAATCCAAAAACATATGTCATTTCTTTTTTTTTTTATTATTTAAAAATTTCAAATAACCTTTAATGCTGATTTTGAACGTGGAGTTCCATCTAATTCATAAAAATTTAAATTTCCATTCGAATTTGCAACAGTCAAATAATTCTCATATGGATGAAGACGTAAAGCAAGTGGAGTAGCAGCAGATATTCGATTATTAAATATTGTTTCACGCATATGTTGAAAATCAGCTAATCGACTTGGATTTGAACGAATACAATGATTACGCCAATAGCGTCCACTACGTGCAAAACAATCATCTTCATCTTCATTATAAAAAGCACCTCGTATTTGTGGTGATATACCAGAACCAAGATCACGTGTGATTGTATTTGATACTCGAAATCGACTACAACACCATTGAAAAAATTTTGTTTGAACTGGTTTTTGTGGATCAGTTATAATTGATTCAGCTATTTGAACCATTTCATAAGATGGATCACAGGCAGCAACAGTTCGTATAGCTTCATTTACTCTATCAGAAACAGTTATATATGTTGGACCAACCGGTCGATTTGCATTGTTTGCAGCTGTCGTTGGATTTGGATTTGGATTTGTATGAGTAAATAAAGTTAAAAAATGATGTAAAGCAACAAGAACTTCTTGTCGAACAAGTGGCGAACCATCGTGAAGACTTTTTATAAGATATGTTGTTGCTGTTCTTGATTGGTCACTACGACGTTCACTTAATTCAACACCAGATGTTGAAGCTGATAAAAAAGTACCTAAAGCATATGCACAAGCAGCACGAACTTCAGGTGAATCATGTGTTGCAAGTAATGTTTGTAATGTCTCTGGTGCACTACTAAGTACAGCTTTTTCACAAGCATGCGAATTTGAACGCCATGCTTGACCAAGAAATAATGTTGACCAAAGAAAAAGTGCAGATGTTTCACGAAAATATGTCACAGGTGTATTTAAAATATCAACAACACGTGGTACTACTTGTAATAATTCATCCTAAAATAGAAGTACGAAAAAACAAAAACAAACGAAAATGAATATTTTTAAGAAGAATTGATTTACTTGTCCTTTGGTATAATTATCAACTAAACAAGTTAGATTGAAAGCTGCTAATGCACGAACACCATTTGATGATCGAACATCAGTTAATGTTGATATAAAATATTCATGACCTTTTTCACGTATAATATCAATTTGACATGCCTAGATATATATATATATAAATAAGAATTTAAATGATATGATTAAAAATGCATTTTTTATGTACTCGATCAACTGCTAATATTTTTGCCCATATAAAAACAAGATATGGTCGTAGATCATCACTCGTTGCTTGTAATAAACGAAGTACATAGGGGAATATACCAACAGATAAAGCTAGATGTACAGCCCATGTGCCAATATCAAGAAAACGAGCAAGTAAATCAAGTGCGCGTTGTCGATGAGATTGACTAAGAAGTACCTATATATATACACGAAAAAAAAACAAAAGAAAATCGTTTAATTTATTAATAAAAATAATGAACTTGTAAAACAATGGGTAATTGTTCAGGTTGTTTTAAATTTTCTCTTTCGATTGTTGATGTTAATAAAGAATTTTCACTCAGCCAAACTGAAAATGCTGTCAATTGATCAGCAAAAAATGAACTTGGCTCATAAACAGGTTCACGTATTCCACTCTCGGTTTGTTTTAATACAGATGGTAATTGTTTAAGACATAGATCTAAAGCCATATCCCAAGCATTCCTAATAAAAAAAAAAGATGAAAGTTTAATCTTATTTAGTGGCGTAACCAGAAGTTGACGGGTGGATAGGCGCCACCTTACCGATTTTCAAAATACTATATAACATATATGGAAAAGTCGCTTTTTCAAACTACGGATGGGCGGGCGGAGCCTACCCATGCCTTAACTCGGTTACGCCACTAATCTTATTTTACTAACCATAGTCGATGTTCAAACATGGGTGGTAATGCTGGTCTTGAGCAAACATGACATCCATATGAACGCATTATTCTTTCAGCAAGAAGAAAATTTCTGAAAAGTGACGCAACTAATAAATCTTGTCTAAATAATCGTTGAAATATATCTTTTGGTAATGAATTCCATGCAATTGTATCTGTAACAGCAGTAAATATCCAATTTAATTCACCTAACATTGATTTTCGATCAGTAACAGTGCCAGGTATTTTATCAATCATATCTTGATCAATATTTGGATTAAGACGACTTATATTTTTTTTGTAAAACATACCAACGTAATGCAATTTTAATTGGTGTAGTTAAACATGATGTAAATAAATCAGCTGGTAATTCGGGATTCATAGGTAAAAGTTCATTTTCACCACAAGCACCAAGTAATATGTCATGTAAAGGTGAAGATGCTGGGAGTTGTGGAGTCATTTGTGTTGGTGTATGTGTAAGAGTAGGTAAAAAATTCTGTGCTAAATTACGTCGTGTTTCTTCAAGTTCTTTATCAATTTGATCAGCAAATTTAACAAATAAATTAAGTATAACAGCGGCATGAGAACAATCAAATACAAAAATAGATGGAGAACTCATCCATTTTTGTAAATCATATAGTGATAATGGGATATATTGAGTAAAATTTTTATTAAATACCCAAATTTCACCATTTGCAGTTGGACGAGGAACACCATGACCATTATAATGAAATAAAATACGTTCTTCCTATCAAAAAAAAACAAAATAAAATCATATAATCTATTTTGCTTCTTGATAGTACATACTCTAGCATTTCGTCGTAAAGTCATACATAATTTTTTAATATCCTCTTGTGTTGGGTCAAGACTTGATTTATATCGTGCTTTAGATTGCCAACGTTCATATTGACGTTGTAATTCAGCAGCTATACTTTCAAGTGCTCGTCGAGGTGTCATAGCAAATGGGTCTGAATAAAAACAAAATATGTATCATATTTTTTTGCGAGAAATGAATCTTTACCAATCCAACATTCAAGTTTTGAACATGGATTTATTTTAGCTACGTCTGGTGGATCAACACCAATGTGAAGACACATAACAAGTGCAACACTAACTGTTTTCATCTATTTATTTATTAATGAAATTATTAATTAAAACAAAAAAATATCATACTCGATCACGTAATCGCCATTCAACTTCAACAGTATCGGAAACATTCAAATTTTCATGATGATGTGCTGCTTGAAATGCCAATGGATTATTCCAATCTTCAAGTTTTTCAAGTTCACTAACAGGTGTGACATAAAATGTATCATTCATATTGAAATCTAGAGTAGGATTTTGTTCTATATTCAAAGAAAGATTATTGATAGAATTCGTAATGCTGCTTGTAAATGAGTTTATTGATGATGTTAATGATTGTGACGAACGTATATTGTACAAACGAGAAACTGTCATAATAAATTATCTAAAGCATGTCTTCCAATTAGATTTTTTTGGTGTTTATATTGACAATGAGTGAAAAGAATGAAAGATATTTAACAAGTATATATAATAAAGAAAAAAAAATTGAACTACATTTTTATTATGATGATGATGTTGCTGAAGATGATCCTTGTTTAGCTAAGACTTTTAATACTTGAATGATTGCTTCTGGTTTAATATTTAGTTTAAGTAATTCAAGAATTATTTTAAACATACGTTCATCAATAACTATATTTGATAGACGAGCTAATTCAAATAATTGAACTTCATCAGATTTTAAAGGTGTAAATTCTGTTGACATCTGAAATATATGAATGAATAGAAATCTAATCTGTTCATGATCGAGAAATCTAACTATCAATAAATGAACTTAGATTTAGACACAAAAAAATCTCTACAATTCATTCATCTGTCAGTATAAACTACAATACATCAAATCTGTTGACCGGAGATATTTATAACTGCTCATCTAATTCTCCTGTGAAGAATAAAAGATATAATTATATTATTTCCGTTAAATTTTTAATGTTTCGAGAAAAAAATAAAATAAAATGAGATACACATACAGAGTTATAGACTTTACAACATCGATCACTGACAATAAATATCGATTCAATCGAGATAAGTAGATGAGACAATATTTAGAAAGAAAACGTATATACACAGTTTTTTCTGTTTTTTGTTCCTTTTTTGTTTTATTGAATTAACGGTTCATCATCATCTTCATCACCATCACCTTCTAATAAACGATCAACTGTATATTCTTGTATATTTGATTCACGATGAGTAAATAATTTCAATATAAAACTTGCCAAGAATATCTACAAAATAGAATATAATTAAAAAAGATTTTAATTAATACAAAACTATGAATATGTCAAGTAATCCGGAAAATCAGGAAAATAAAATCCGGAAAAGAAATACATCGTCTCGAAAGGTTTTGTCGTATGACTGTTGGTGTGGAAGAAGAATAGTCCTTACCTATACATCCGCACCTACATTCGCCCTCATCCACTCATCCACATCCATACTAGGGAGCTGCGGAGTACTCCGAAATCCGATTATCGGAGTCGGAGTCAAAAAAAGTTGACTCCACAGGTCCCTAATTCATACTCACACCTTGGACAACTACAGCTACAACAACGATATCGATCGTGCCGAGCTTCTCGAAAGATTCTCACTTCTTGTGGCTTCAAAGCAATATGCTCATCAGATTATCTCTAATATTTCTACACCTTTTACTTACTATGTCTTCTACCATTAATAAACTTCGAGTCAAATTTTTCAGGATTTTTTCATCTCTGGAGTTTTCTTTTCCGGATTATGTGACATCACCCAAATTATGAGTTAATACTTACAACAAGAAATATCCAACTTAGACAAAAATAGATGGCTCCAAAAAACCAAACTTTATAGAAAAATCGAAGTATAATACGACCCATTACTGTCATTTGACAGTCATCTACAACAAAAAATTTCATTCAAATAAAACTCTCCATACTAAATATTGATTACATACCTGTTTTTACAAATTGTGTACATTTTTCAATGATAATCGTTCCATTCTAAATATATTCAAGATTAAAACAATTAGAAAATAATTTTCCTGTCATCTATATTTCGCTAACTAACAGAATTCTATCGACTATTTTTAATCGAAAGAATATTAATAAGTCTACCACTCTAACGGCTTGGGTTCACATTTCTATTTAGCTTAGGCATCGAAACCCTCAATATCCGATCTAAGTCGAAATGGTAGGAATAGATCTTTCGATATACTTTTAACATACATTTCCAATTGCTGAATAATGTTGATCACCATAAATTGCGTATTGTGGTATAAGAAGATAAACGAATATATTGATTGCAACAACAATAAACATTAATAATGAACAAAGCATTAATATAGCTTGTGGTTTAGTTCTTCCACGAGAAAATCGATACATCTATTTAAAATGAACAATAAATTTTTGATTCTATATATGATCATCTTTCACACTTACTCGAACCCAAAAATACCAAATACCAAGTTGTTGTAATCCATAGAGTGATGTAAATATAATATAAATAAGTAATCCAGTTAGAAAGATATAACTAATTGGATAGAACTAAAAAATATTTTTTAATTTTTATGGTTTTATTATTTGTGTTTTTCCTTACTTGTCCTGTCCATGTTAAAATAATATTAATTGGATTAGGTAATGTTTGATTTCCTTGTGCGAATATTTGTTTGAAATTCACGAAATTTATACATTTATTAACATTACTCAATAGAAGTGAAATAAATATAACAATTGCCAATATGAATAAAAATATTCCAAGAATAATTTGTACTGGTCGATATATATAACGACATTTAAAAAATAAACTTTCTCGAACATTTATGATAGATTCTTCATTTCGACATAAAGCTGCATCTTCTTGTTCAAGTTCAGCTAATCGATGTTTTTCACGAATTGGCATTGGTATATGACGTGGATACTGAAAATAAATTAAAATAGATGGATCAAAATTGAATTTTGAAATATTTTACTCGATTTTTTAATAATCGTATTTGTCTTTGTATTTCACTACGTTGATCTTCAATACTTGCTTGTTGTAAACGTGCACTACGTTTACCACGAATTAATGATAATGGACAAGCAATTGAACCGTAACCCTATATAAATCAATGTAAAAAATTGAAATTTTATTTCAATATTTATTTACTGTATAGATTGTTAAAAGAAAAAATCCAATGATACTGATAGTAAAAATTGAGAATGAAATCGAATCTTCAATTCCTAAAAACGAAAAAAATTTGATTGATTTATTTTTATCGAAAAAACAAATTACTTGAACTATCGAAATGATCAATTAAATATTTAACATGATCCCATTCACTCGTGGAATTATCAGATGGTAATGTTGCCAATTGAGGAACAAATATTCTAAACAATTCTATAGAATTTAAATGAAACAATCAATAGAATAAAATACCCAAGAATGATTAAGACAAAAAGAAAAAGTAAAAATCCAATTGTCCATTTAATTGCTGATTGTATTCGCTACATAATAAGAAAATTATAGTTTAAAACAATTATAGATAATTATATATCATACTTTTGGTATTGTATTGCTTTCTGTTTCTTGCTTTTCTTCGTAATAAAAGAAAAGAAATGGATTAACCAAAAATGCCATAAAAATAACCAGGCCATATAGAACTACAAGAATCAAAAATAAAATCTTAATACTCGTTGAAAAAAATAGTACGATTTGCATAGCACTTTAAGTAAAAACCGATGCGAAAAGACAGAGAATACAAGTCAAATCGATTCTTTATCTAGAGTGTCAACAAGAATCGAGGGATACGATCAGGGGGACTGGCGCATAGGTGCAGAATGTTGCTCGTACGCCCCCGCACGGGGAGGGAAATTTTTTAAAGCTTCATTTTTTGGGGAAATTTTCAAAATTTATTCGAAGAATTTTTTGAAAAAATTTTCCCGGGAGGGATATTTTTGGTTTTTGGGAAGATTCTGCACCTCTGAAGGGAGGTCTAGCGCCCCGCAAAATTCGAAACGCTGTCTGTCTTTCTGCCAAACTTTTTAAAGCTTTTCCGAAAACTTGGTCAGAAACCTGGTTTTTATGCTATTTTTCCGCCAGAAACTCCAATAAAAACCCTTTTTTCGGGTAAAATTCCGCAGAAAGTGTATAGCGTAAGTATTTTCTACGTTATATGCGTCAGAAAGCTATATGACGGCACTTTCTGACAAATTTTATTCCACCGCACTTTTGAAAACAATTGGAAATCCTGACAAGAATAGTAACAGACGGAATGTTAAATATATTATTCAACATCATCATGCAATCTCAGTTTCATAAAGAATGCGCTTTGACTTAAACTTTGGATATACAAATAGTAACTCATAGGTCAAAAGAACATCAAAGGATTTACTCTACATAAGTATAACAAATTGAACATACCATAATATCCAACTTCGATATATTTTTGAATATGATCTCTTGTTGTCGGATTTGATACCCATTCCTGAATATATATATATATATATTTTTCCTTTCTTATTTATATTCTCATACTTTAAATGTTCCATTAGGATATTTCATAAATGATACAAAAATAACATCTGTTGGTAATAAACTTGCTGCTAATAAAGCAATAATTAATGAAATTGAACAAACAAATGTAACCAAATAATCTCGACGTCGTTTTTTGTTGATAACGTAATATAAACAGAATTGCGAAGCAAATAATAAACTAACAAAAGATTTAAAAACAAGTCATTATACTAAGACATTTATTAATCACAACTTACCAAGCCAACAATTGCAAATGGTAGCCAACTACCTAGTGAAGCTAAAACCAACATAATAGCTGCAAAAGAATCTAAAAAAGAAGATTATGTAAAGATATAAGCTTAGACAGTTAAATAAATGTATGCTCTCGTAATCGAACACTGTCTTCGTCTTGTTTTTTTATATTCTTTTGATTACATGATGATGATAATAATAAGAAGAAAAGACAAAGCTTTGTCCAGACACGGAGGTGTGGATATATTTTCAAGATAGTCAATTGAACAAATGTAAAGACATAAACAAACATGACAACAGTTGGATCAATACGGATTTAAATATTTTTAATCATAACCACCATCGAACTATATAAGAACGATGAACAACATGTTCATTCATTCTTTATTCAAATTACAATGATGAACAATCATCGTATTCTTTATTTGACTATATTCGTTCTATTTCTATTCGATTTAACGATATCAGCTACACCTAATTGTCCTGTTGAAGGTAGAAATCTATTTAGTTAAAATAAAATTCTAATCATGTTTTTTTTCTCGTGTAGCGGATCCGACAACAATTCTTAGTTGTGTAGCTATCGATGCTGTCGGTTTAGTTCAAGCAACAAAAGGTAATATACGAGCTTTTTGTACTATGGCTGAACGTTTTATGGAATGTCTTAAAACAAAAACAAGAGGATGTATTGGAGAAGATGTAAGACTAATAAGATTTCGATTTATTTTCTATAAATTTCTTATTTGTAGTTTGTACGTGGATCTCTTTCCGAATTAATTGAACTGTCACAAAAATGTTGTGTCAATAAAGGAGAAAGAATGAGTGAAGAATGTCCATTTGTTTGTAAGTTTAAATTTTCTTAATCATTCATTTAATTTCAAATCTTTTTTTCTTAAAGCAAAACCACAATGTTTTTATATGACTGATATGGCAACATCTCCAAAAGGAAACGAAATTCCTATAAAAGATCTTCAAATAGGTGAAAAAGTACTCGCAATTGATCATAATGATCAAATCGTTTCGACAGAAATCGTGTCATTTCTACATTATGAAAATAATTCTCAAAGTAATTTCATACGAAGGATTAATTAACTAAACGTATTTCTTTAGCTTTTTTCTATATATTCACAACTGAAACGGGTCATCAAATATCTGTAACATCCGATCATCTAATGTTTATTGGAAATCAAACATACATTCAAGCTCGTTTTATTGATCTTACACAACATAATCTCTATATTATGGGAAGTAATGGTCAATTACAACCATCACGTATTCGTTCAATTGATGTTCAGCTTAAACAGGGATATGCGACACCAATAACTCAACATGGAACATTAATTGTCAATAATATTAGTGCATCATGTTATTCATCGATCTATCATCATAATTTAGGTCATATGGCAATGGCACCTTTACGTTGGTTTCATCATGCTAAACAAATATTTGGTGTTGTCAATAATAATGAAATGATTAAAAATGGTATTCATTGGTATCCACGAACACTAAATAATTTCTTGCATATATTTCGTCCCTTAGCAAATGTATTTACAACTACAATGGGAAATATTTAAAGGAACAACGATGAAATTTTGTTTAATACTCATGTAAATAAGAATTGATTTTAGACGAAAAATAATAAAGAAAAAAAAAACAGATTCTTAGTTGAATAGATATTTAATGACGACTGAAAAAAAAAACAAAATTATATTATATTTACCGTATATTATTCGTTTTGTATGACTAAAGAAAAGTATTTTTTTTCTTGTTTTTTTTTTTTATATTTATGTCTCATTTTGTGTCGTAAACAATATAGCAATTTTAACTAATCATAAACATTATGAATAGATGGCGCTGGCATTATTGTATTATGTAATAAAAATGATCAGCAGATTAAACTATGATAATCATGTGATTTTTATACAATATAGTAATCGTCACGAATATATTTTTTTCATTGTTTAAAATGTACAAGATTTCGTAAAGCTGTATGAATGAATAGCTTACATTATTTGATATCGATTTCTATAGTATTAGATAATTTCTTTCAGGTGTATTAATTCATGAAATTATAAATAGAGAAGTAAACCAATGTATTGATTTGAATGGGCTGTTTAGAATGAAAAATAAGGATAAAAAATGTATTTATAAGATCGTTCGATTTGTAAATCAAAGTGTTGTAAAATCCATTTTTGTCCTTATAGTATACGTAATAAAAGCATATCGAAAAATCAGATAAGAAAAAATTTTACTAGCATGTTTTATTTTGCATGTATCGTTATTTTAAAATATGATACGAAGTTGCTATGTTTTTTTTCAAACAATCTACGATTAAGCTCAATGTTTCAAACACAAAAACAGATCTTCATAGACATCTCTTATAAATTTAATCGATTACTAGAGATAAACATATCTATTTTTGTATTCCTTCTTATTCATAAAACAGTTTAAAAAGAAAGATTCTAGAGTTTCAGAACTGTGTACGTGGCTTGGAAATAAGTTAAGCTTTCCTCCTCGCGATGTTTCTCGAATAACGCTAACGAACCTTTCATGATGTATACAATACAAGACATTCGTATCTTGCCTCGGATGTGAGACACCAGGGCCTGAGGATAGAGCTCATATTCGAGTGTATGGTAATCGTTCGGATATAGGTACCCGTATATCTAGAAGGCATGTTCAATGGAATACAACATCGGAATCGATAAAATCAATGCACGGAGATTGAATATATATTTGAGCTATTAAAATAAATATTTGCGTGTATTTCTAAATTTGAACGTTGTAAAATTATTGCTCTAATAATTAGTTTTTAATATTCATGAAAAAGATTGCCCTCTTCTTTTCAGTCATTATTACTATTACAGCTTGATTTTAAATGGGTTTGTCTATCTTGATAAAAAAGATTATTATTAATTGTGAAATCTTTACGATTGAAAGTATAACCCCTAGCAGTTTTGAGAAATGGGAGTTCGAAGCAAAAAAAAGTATTTTATTTAAATGCAAATACTTTAGTATAAGTATGATGTCAATATTAAAAATCAATAAGACAGTCTACAATAGTTCAGTATGTATCACATTCTTTGTTTTTCATTAATTTAAGCTACCAATATGAAGAAAATAAATTTTAAGGTCGATTAAATGTTTGTTCTACATTATAATTTGGTGGTGGTCGATAATTATCACGATATTCAGTTGAAGAACGTGCTGCACGATCATGTAAATCTTGTGCCTGAGCATGACGTTCTTCTGTTTCACGAAAATAATTTTCTGCTTGAAGACGAAGACGTCTTTCACGAAGTACATCTGCTAAACGTTGTTCTTCATGTTCATGATGTTTAAGTTGCTAGCAAACAAAAAAAATAAATAATTTATTTTTTTATTTCATCTTACATGTACTGCTAATGAATTAAAGGTTCGTTTTTGTCCATGTTGTTTATCACTATAACGTCCACCATAATTAACAAAAGGTGGACGATTTTCTAAATTTTCATTACCATGTGTTAAATCACATAGACCATAAGGCGTTTTAATAGCTAGAAATAAATATATTAGAATTTCGAATTTGTTTTTTTATATGAAATTTATCTTTACCATATTTGCTTCTTTTCTTAATAAAATTACTCCAATTACAATTATTTGATAATCGTTCAGGTGGAACTGATTTTGGTCGACTTAATCGTTCTAAATCAGTTGATGTTAGTGTTGAACGAGAAGGTTTTGTTTTTGCTGCTGTTGATGGTCGTTGTTCAGGTATTGGTGGTGGTGAAATAACTTCATGTCGACTACAAGAAGATTGTGGTCGATCAAATGTTTGTTGTCGTCGTCGATCAGCTTCTATTGAACAAGCATTACATGCTGAAAAATCACGAGTTTCTTGTAAATGTGAAAGTGAACGATTATTTTTAATACGAAATTTATGTTGTTCATCAAAAACAAGACGTGGACGATTTGCTATACGAGTAGATTGAACATCTTTTCCTTGTTTTGGTCCATAGACTGCCATGTTTTATATTGAAAAAAAATGTATTAGTAACAAAATGCTTGAAGGACAATAATAAAAACCACAGTAAGACTATGAACATTTTCATTTTTTATTGTTTCCGAGAGCAACGGAGAGGAACATATAAAAAATCGAAGAGATGTCAGTAGTTGATGCATTTTTATCCTTATTACATATTATAGAAAATTTCATATCGAATCTGAATAATCACGATTGATAATTTGCTTATTATATTTTATAAAGACGAAAAAAAACAAGTTAATTTTTACTAGAACTAAACATATAAGATTTTTTATTGTTATATGTATCGTGA